TTCTAGTTCAGTTCTAGTTCAGTTCTAGTTCAGTTCTAGTTCAGTTCTAGTTCAGTTCTAGTTCAGTTCTAGTTCAGTTCTAGTTCAGTTCTAGTTCAGTTCTAGTTCAGTTCTAGTTCAGTTCTAGTTCAGTTCTAGTTCAGTTCTAGTTCAGTTCTAGTTCAGTTCTAGTTCAGTTCTAGTTCAGTTCTAGTTCAGTTCTAGTTCAGTTCTAGTTCAGTTCTAGTTCAGTTCTAGTTCAGTTCTAGTTCAGTTCTAGTTCAGTTCTAGTTCAGTTCTAGTTCAGTTCTAGTTCAGTTCTAGTTCAGTTCTAGTTCAGTTCTAGTTCAGTTTTAGTTCAGTTCTAGTTCAGTTCTAGTTCAGTTCTAGGTCAGTTCTAGTTCAGTTCTAGTTCAGTTCTAGTTCAGTTCTAGTTCAGTTCTAGTTCAGTTCTAGTTCAGTTCTAGTTCAGTTCTAGTTCAGTTCTAGTTCTAGTTCAGTTCTAGTTCTAGTTCAGTTCTAGTTCTAGTTCAGTTCTAGTTCAGTTCTAGTTCAGTTCTAGTTCAGTTCTAGTTCTAGTTCAGTTCTAGTTCAGTTCTAGTTCAGTTCTAGTTCAGTTCTAGTTCAGTTCTAGTTCAGTTCTAGTTCTAGTTCATTTCTAATTCAGTTCTAGTTCAGTTCTAGTTCAGTTCTAGTTCAGTTCTAGTTCAGTTCTAGTTCAGTTCTAGTTCAGTTCTAGTTCAGTTCTAGTTCAGTTCTAGTTCAGTTTTAGTTCAGTTGTAGTTCAGTTCTAGTTCAGTTGTAGTTCAGTTGTAGTTCAGTTGTAGTTCAGTTCTAGTTCAGTTGTAGTTCAGTTGTAGTTCAGTTCTAGTTCAGTTCAGTTCTAGTTCAATTCCAGTTCAGTTCTAGTTCAGTTCTAGTTCAATTCTAGTTTAGTTCTATTTCAGTGCTAGTTCAATTCTAGTTCAGTTCTAGTTCAGTTTTAGTTCGGTTCTAGTTCAGTTCTAGTTTAGTTCTAGTTAAATTCTACTTCAATGCTAGTTCAGTTGCCTTCGTTAAAAATTACCAGCATTATTTATTTTCCAACTGTAGGGTGCTTTTTTAGAAAACAATTTTACAAACCAATAAAAAACACACCAATATAAGTACAGAAACCCCCACTACATTTTTTGGCGTGTGTCATTTGTTGATTTACAGGCAGTTGGGAAATTTTGTAACAAAACAACAACAAAAATTAAGACAGCAACCAAAAATTTAAACAAATAAAGAAAATATTTTTAAAATTTATTTTTATTTTCCTTTAAGTAGATAAAAGCCAGTTGTTAGTAACACAAATTTGTGTTAATTTTCTTTATCGTCTAAGAACATTAAATAGATTTCTTGTGAACAATAAATTAATTTTCTTTATTTTCAAAGCAAAAAAGGTCAAAACGCTTAATAGTTTGGCGAGGTTTTAAATTACAAATGTTGTCTTTGTCAACATTGCTTTGTCGTTTTTAAGTAAAAGAAATCAAAAGTGAACAATGAATAGTTAAAGGGAATTTTGACACCAGACAATCAGTAGACAGTGATTTTTTGTTAGTTTTCCACGAAAATTTTTCTATGAACTTAATGAAACTTTCTTATAGGTAAATAGTCTAGACCACAGTCTGATTTTTTGTCTACTGTCTATTGTCTATTGTATACCAATGATCAAGTCAACAGTCTAGACATGTTCTCTTCTTAGTTCTTGTTCTAGTTATAGTTCAGATTTAGTTCAGTTCTAGTTCAGTTCTAGTTCAGTTCTAGTTCAGTTCTAGTTCAGTTCTAGTTCAGTTCTAGTTCAGTTCTAGTTCAGTTCTAGTTCAGTTCAGTTCTAGTTCAGTTCAGTTCAGTTCAGTTCTAGTTCTAGTTCTAGTTCTAGTTCAGTTCTAGTTCAGTTCTAGTTCAGTTCTAGTTCAGTTCTAGTTCAGTTCTAGTTCAGTTCAGTTCTAGTTCAGTTCTAGTTCAGTTCTAGTTCAGTTCTAGTTCAGTTCTAGTTCAGTTCAAGTTCAGTTCAGTTCTAGTTCAGTTCTAGTTCAGTTCTAGTTCAGTTCTAGTTCAGTTCTAGTTCAGTTCTAGTTCAGTTCTAGTTCAGTTCTAGTTCAGTTCTAGTTCAGTTCTAGTTCAGTTCTAGTTCAGTTCTAGTTCAGTTCTAGTTCAGTTCTAGTTCAGTTCTAGTTCAGTTCTAGTTCAGTTCTAGTTCAGTTCTAGTTCAGTTCTAGTTCAGTTCTAGTTCAGTTCTAGTTCAGTACTAGTTCAGTTCTAGTTCAGTTCTAGTTCAGTTCTAGTTCAGTTCTAGTTCAGTTCTAGTTCAGTTCTAGTTCAGTTCTAGTTCAGTTCTAGTTTAGTTCTAGTTCAGTTCTAGTTCAGTTCTAGTTCAGTTCTAGTTCAGTTCTAGTTCAGTTCTAGTTCAGTTCTAGTTCAGTTCTAGTTCAGTTCTAGTTTAGTTCTAGTTCAGTTCTAGTTCAGTTCTAGTTCAGTTCTAGTTCAGTTCTAGTTCAGTTCTAGTTCAGTTCTAGTTCAGTTCTAGTTCAGTTCTAGTTCAGTTCTAGTTCAGTTCTAGTTCAGTTCAGTTCTAGTTCAGTTCAAGTTCAGTTCTAGTTCAGTTCTAGTTCAGTTCTAGTTCAGTTCTAGTTCAGTTCTAGTTCAGTTCTAGTTCAGTTCTAGTTCAGTTCTAGTTCAGTTCTAGTTCAGTTCTAGTTCAGTTCTAGTTCAGTTCAGTTCTAGTTCAGTTCTAGTTCAGTTCTAGTTCAGTTCTAGTTCAGTTCTAGTTCAGTTCTAGTTCAGTTCTAGTTCAGTTCTAGTTCAGTTCTAGTTCAGTTCTAGTTCAGTACTAGTTCAGTTCTAGTTCAGTTCTAGTTCAGTTCTAGTTCAGTTCTAGTTCAGTTCTAGTTCAGTTCTAGTTCAGTTCTAGTTCAGTTCTAGTTTAGTTCTAGTTCAGTTCTAGTTCAGTTCTAGTTCAGTTCTAGTTCAGTTCTAGTTCAGTTCTAGTTCAGTTCTAGTTCAGTTCTAGTTCAGTTCTAGTTCAGTTCTAGTTTAGTTCTAGTTCAGTTCTAGTTCAGTTCTAGTTCAGTTCTAGTTCAGTTCTAGTTCAGTTCTAGTTCAGTTCTAGTTCAGTTCTAGTTCAGTTCTAGTTCAGTTCTAGTTCAGTTCTAGTTCAGTTCTAGTTCAGTTCTAGTTCAGTTCTAGTTCAGTTCTAGTTCAGTTCTAGTTCAGTTCTAGTTCAGTTCTAGTTCAGTTCTAGTTCAGTTCTAGTTCAGTTCTAGTTCAGTTCTAGTTCAGTTCTAGTTCAGTTCTAGTTCAGTTCTAGTTCAGTTCTAGTTCAGTTCTAGTTCAGTTCTAGTTCAGTTCTAGTTCAGTTCTAGTTAGTTCTAGTTCAGTTCTAGTTCAGTTCTAGTTCAGTTCTAGTTCAGTTCTAGTTCAGTTCTAGTTCAGTTCTAGTTCAGTTCTAGTTCAGTTCTAGTTCAGTTCTAGTTCAGTTCTAGTTCAGTTCTAGTTCAGTTCTAGTTCAGTTCTAGTTCAGTTCTAGTTCAGTTCTAGTTCAGTTCTAGTTCAGTTCTAGTTCAGTTCTAGTTCAGTTCTAGTTCAGTTCTAGTTCAGTTCTAGTTCAGTTCTAGTTCAGTTCTAGTTCAGTTCTAGTTCAGTTATAGTTCAGTTCTAGTTCAGTTCTAGTTCAGTTCTAGTTCAGTTCTAGTTCAGTTCTAGTTCAGTTCTAGTGCAAGTTATCCTATGGTCTAAACTTTAGAGTTGTCTAGAGCTTTAACCTTTGTGAAACCAAGACAGCCGATAGGTACTCCATTATAATACAATATTTGTAACACTCTGTAGACTCTTTTAAGAGGCCTGTTCATTTTTGAATTGAACAAAATTATAAGTATGTATGTTTATAAGATAAACGTGTTTGATAAAGTCCAAACAAAACAAGTGGGTCAAAAACCGGTTAAAGTTGCCAAGGGATGACTTTGTATTTTGCCAATAATACAAACTGATTGACTGTACTACCCACCATGCTATTAATAACAATAATTTCAAATACTAACTAAAGAACTTCTAGACAAACTAACTTTATCTTAAAAAATAATAATAATAAACAAACCAAGAATATTCCAAAGTATTTTTAAAATATTTTCCATTCAATTTTTCTTCTTTTACCGCAAAACAAATTTATTGCTATTGATAGTTAGTCCATTTAAAAAAGAAATAAAGCTTATCAATAAATTAATAAAATCTACTTATAGGTAATTTGCAAAACACAATAAAAACAAAAAGACCAAAATATCATTATGGATTTTGATAATTTAATGTATTTTACTAATAACAAAAATTTATTTTTATAATTTCAGACTACGAGCGACATTGCACGAGAAAAGTTAAGGCAGTTAAATAAAAATACAAATTTTTGGCTGAAATATTTTTAAATAAAAACAAGTCTTAAGAAAAAGATAAAAATTACAATAATACAATAAATAATTAAATAAATGGTGTTTTAAAAAGATTCAATAAGTTCAAATTAAAAAAAGTGCCAATGAAATAGAAAAAAAGTGGAGAAAAGCAGAAGAACCGGCAGTTTTTTTATAATAATTCAAAAAAGCAAAAAAATATATATAAAAATATATAATTAATACAATACTATGGACTCACGCGAACTATTACTTTTTCTGGCCTGCATGGGCCTGCTAGGTGGTTTACGTTTTACCTCTACCACCACCACTACCTCTTTAGTGGCTGCCATGTCTATAGCGAATCAAGACTTAGAGCGTTATTTTCACTCAGCCAATAGAACACAAACTTTAGCCTCAGAGGAGCGCATAGCCATGGATGTCTATACATATGCCTTCTCAATTACTCCTACATGGAAAACCAACAACTGCGTGTGGTCAACTATCAAGAGGAAAAGGCCCGTTATGGTGAGGGTAAATATTAACCGTACAAGGCAAGCTAATACACATTAGCACACCCGAAGATCCTAAAGATGATTCGGCCTGTTCGTCGAATTTGTTGGGTACCAATGGTACACCCATACCACCATATGCATCTCCTGGATAGCCCTGGTGCGCCGAGGACGCTGTACTTTTGAGGAAAAAGTCAAAAATGTTTTTCTTAGTGGTGCAGCGGGTGTTATCATCTATAATGATAAGCCCGTTATGAATTTGGAAAAGATGCAGATTAAGGGTAAAACACGTAAGTGCAAACAAAAAGAATTATTATTGTATTTAAAATGCGCATTTTGTTAATACGTGTTGTATTTATTTTTGGATTTTATTGTGGTTTCTAGGTAATATAACAGCTGTGATAACTTATCAAGACATTGGTCTAGAAATGGCAATGCGTCTTGATCAAGGGTTTGATGTTTCGGCCCATATAATAGAGGGACGTAGTGGTATGCGGCCTATAAATAGTTTGAATAGGTAAGTTTTTATAAAATGTTATATAAAACTTAAGATCTGAGAAGTGATCAATAACAATTCTAAACTAGAACTAACTAGAACTGAACTAGAGAACTGAACTAGAACTGAACTAGAACTGAACTAGAACTGAACTAGAACTGAACTAGAACTGAACTAGAATGAACTAGAACTGAACTAGAACTGAACTAGAACGAACTAGAACTGAACTAGAACTGAACTAGAACTGAACTAGAACTGAACTAGAACTGAACTAGAACTGAACTAGAACTGAACTAGAACTGAACTAGAACTGAACTAGAACTGAACTAGAACTGAACTAGAACTGAACTAGAACTGAACTAGAACTGAACTAGAACAGAATTAGAACTGAAGTAGAACTGAACTAAAACTGAACTAGAACTGAACTAGAACTGAACTAGAACTGTACTAGAACTGAACTACAACTGAACTACAACTGAACTACAACTGAACTACAAATGAACTACAACTAAACTAGAACTGTACTAGAACTGAACTAGAACTGAACTAGAACTGAACTAGAACTGAACTAGAACTGAACTAGAACTGAACTAGAACTGAACTAGAACTGACTGAACTAGACTGAACTAGAAACTGAACTAGAACTGAACTAGAAACTGAATAGAACTGAACTAGAACTGAACTAGAACTGAACTAGAACTGAAACTAGAACTGAATCGAACTGAAACTAGAAACTGAACTAGAACTGAACTAGAACTGAACTAGAAACTGAAACTAGAACTGAACTAGAACTGAACTAGAACTGAACTAGAACTGAACTAGAACTGAACTAGAACTGAACTAGAACTGAACTAGAACTGAACTAGAACTGAACTAGAACTGAACTAGAACTGAACTAGAAACGGAACTAGAACTGACTAGAACTGAACTAGAACTGAACTAGAACTGACTAGAACTGAACTAGAACGAACTAGAAACTGAACTAGAACTGAACTAGAACGACTAGAACTGAACTAGAACTGAACTAGAACGAACTAGAACTGAACTAGTAACTGAACTAGAACTGAACTAGAACTGAACTAGAACTGAACTAGTAACTGAACTAGAACTGAACTAGAACTGAACTAGAACTGAACTAGAACTGAACTAGAACTGAACTAGAACTGAACTAGAACTGAACTAGAACTGAACTAGAACTGAACTAGAACTGACTAGAACTGAACTAGAACCTGAACTAGAACTGAACTAGAACTGAACTAGAACTGAACTAGAACTGAACTAGAAACTGAACTAGAACTGACGAGAACTGAACTAGAACTGAACTAGAAACTGAACTAGAACTGAACTGAACTAGAACTGAACTAGAATGAACTAGAACTGAACTAGAACTAACTAGAACTGAACTAGAACTGAACTAGAACTGAACTAGAACTGAACTAGAACTGACTAGAACGAACTAGAACTGAACTAGAACTGAACTAGAACTGAACTAGAACTGAACTAGACTGAACTAGAACTGACGAGAACAGAACTAGAACAGAACTAGAACTGAACTAGAACTGAACTAGAACTGAACTAGAACTGAACTAGAACTGAACTAGAACTGAACTAGAACTGAACCTGTGGACATAACAATTTCAGATTTTTTACTTATTACTTATTTTACACCTGAATCATCTGATTTTTTTGCTTTCCATTTTTATCGCTGAAGAAAATTCAAACTCATTTTGAGAAAAATATAAAAATAATCCAATTTTACACGAGAATCATCAGAAAATGTTTTCTTGTTTTTGTTGACTTTCCAAAAATCATAAGAAAATTACGACGTCTCAAAATGTGAATGTCCAATATATTTATTCTTTCGTTCATTAACATATTTCTGTGCAGTGAATGACCCCAAATAGCAAAAAAATGATTGCACGTACCCAAAGTACTTAATATTAATAATTCCCCTTTAAAGATTATAATACAATTCATAAAATACCTAGACCGACCAAGAGATATGGTCACATAAAAATATTTTTTTTTTATATTATTTTAATTATATTTGTTTTTGTGTCTACGCTTAAGTGTCGCATATATAAACAAATAATTAACTAATAATAATATAATTAATAAAATTTTATGTATAGGAATAAAAAAAACAAGAAAATAATCGTGACAAGAAAATATTCAAGAAAGTGAAGGGAAAGTGGTGGTCTGCGTACTATGTAGTGCGCTTTTTTCCATTAAAAGTGTTTTGTCAGAAAGAAAAACAAGATTTCATAATAATTAAAAGATAAGATTTTTATATGTAGCTATTTTTTATAAAATTAAACAAAAAACTTATTTCCATTGTAACTGGAGATGCCGGGGTTTGAACCCGGGACTTTTCACATGCGAAGCGAACGCTCTACCACTGAGCTACATCCCCCTGCACTTTTTTGCCGACTATTCATAGTTGTTTTTCTCCCTTGTGCATCCTTTTGTGCAAAAAGGATGTTTTGTATATAGCAACCCCTTCTATACTATATGATGCATTTTTTTAATTTTATAAATTTTTTGCTTTTTTCTATGTTTCAGAACATCTGTACTATTTGTAGCCATCTCGTTTATAATTTTAATGGTAATCTCTTTGGTATGGCTGATATTCTATTATATACAAAAGTTTAGATACATGCAGTCAAAGGATCAACAATCGGTGAGTACTAAGTCCAAGTTTTTCTAGTTCAGTTCTAGTTCAGTTCTAGTTCAGATCTAGTTCAGTTCTAGTTCAGTTCTAGTTCAGTTCTAGTTCAGTTCTAGTTCAGTTCTAGTTCAGTTCTAGTTCAGTTCTAGTTCAGTTCTAGTTCAATTCTAGTTCAGTTCTAGTTCAGTTCTAGTTCAGTTCTAGTTCAGTTCTAGTTCAGTTCTAGTTCAGTTCTAGTTCAGTTCTAGTTCAGTTCTAGTTCAGTTCTAGTTCAGTTCTAGTTCAGTTCTAGTTCAGTTCTAGTTCAGTTCTAGTTCAGTTCTAGTTCAGTTCTAGTTCAGTTCTAGTTCAGTTCTAGTTCAGTTCTAGTTCAGTTCTAGTTCAGTTCTAGTTCAGTTCTAGTTCAGTTCTAGTTCAGTTCTAGTACTGTTCTAGTTCAGTTCTAGTTCAGTTCTAGTTCAGTTCTAATTCAGTTCTAGTTCAGTTCTAGTTCAGTTCTAGTTCAGTTCTAGTTCAGTTCTAGTTCAGTTCTAGTTCAGTTCTAGTTCAGTTCTAGTTCAGTTCTAGTTCAGTTCTAATTTATTTCTAGTTCAGTTCTAGTTCAGTTCTAGTTCAGCTCTAGTTCATTTCTAGTTCAGTTCTAGTCCAGTTCTAGTTCAGTTCTATATCATTTCTAGTTCAGTTCTTGTTCAGTTCTAGTTCAGTTCTAGTTCAGTTCTAGTTCAGTTCTAGTTCAGTTCTAGTCAGTTCTAGTTCAGTTCTAGTTCAGTTCTAGTTCAGTTCTAGTTCAGTTCTAGTTCAGTTCTAGTTCAGTTCTAGTTCAGTTCTAGTTCAGTTCTAGTAGTTCTAGTTCAGTTCTAGTTCAGTTCTAGTTCAGTTCTAGTTCAGTTCTAGTTCAGTTCTAGTTCAGTTCTAGTTCAGTTCTAGTTCAGTTCTAGTTCAGTTCTAGTTCAGTTCTAGTTCAGTTCGTTCAGTTCTAGTTCAGTTCTAGTTCAGTTCTAGTTCAGTTCTAGTTCAGTTCTAGTTCAGTTCTAGTTCTAGTTCAGTCTAGTTCAGTTCTAGTTTAGTTCAGTTCTAGTTCTGCTCAAAACCATTTCTTTCCAGTATTATATTAACTCTATTTCTAATATTTCTTTTTTTCCAGCGTCATCTTTGCTCTGTAACCAAAAAAGCCATCATGAAAATACCCACAAAAACAGGCAAAAGTACAGATGAAAAAGATGCCGAATCAGATTGTTGTGCCATTTGCATAGAAACCTATAAGGCCTCAGATCTCATAAGAGTGCTGCCCTGCAAGTAAGTGTCCATATATCTTACACTCCCAAAAAAAGATTAAACTAATTTATTTCTTCCCTCTCACAGGCATGAATTCCACAAAAACTGCATAGATCCCTGGTTAATAGAGCATCGCACCTGTCCCATGTGCAAATTGGATGTTTTAAAATTCTATGGTTATGTGGTGGGTGATGAAATCCATACAACACCCTCACCCCGACATATGCCCGCTAATAATACAGCGCCTTTAGATGATACAGATGTGCCTGTAGTAGTTGTAGGTGTAGTGCCCACATCCCATACCAACTCATTATTATCATCAACATCAGTAGCTGCAGTCAATAGCAGTAGTACTAGTAGTAGTAGCAATAATACTCCCAGTAGATTTAGTGCCACCCAAGCTAGTGTAGAGACACAAACGATTACAACTATAGAGCCACACAGCAGTAGGGAAGATATTATTGAAACACATATGCAAAATTATCATAGACCACCAGCACCTGCAGCAGCAGTAGATGCTGTAGATAGTAGTTATAATTATAATAGTAGTAATAGTAATAATTTAACAAATAGTGATATTAATCAAGCCTGGAGCACGGGTTTTATACTGCAGCAGCAGCAGCAACAAGGTCAAGTTAATACTGGCAGTCATTTGGTGACTGATGTCTAAAATATGTAGCAGTTGTTTAGGGTACCAGTGCAAGTAACTAGAGCTGCCAATAGCAAAATTTTAAACAAATGAAGAATTTAGTAGAAGAAATTTTTTGGATTTTTTTTAATTTGTAGATTTTGTTTAAGTGCTAAGAGAAATGCTTTGCTGTGTTATGTAGGTACTTGAGCTACTGAGAGAACTATAAACTAGACTATTGACTAGGCTACAGTCTAGACTATTGGTTAAACTATAGCATAGACTATCGATCGGACCATATTCTAGACTACTGATTCGACTGTAGTCTGGATTACTACACTATTCTAAGTTCTAAGTTAAGTTCTAGTTCAGTTCTAGTGGCAGTTCTAGTTCAGTTCTAGTTCAGTTCTAGTTCTAGTTCAGTTCTAGTTCAGTTCTAGTTCAGTTCTAGTTCAGTTCTAGTTCAGTTCTAGTTCAGTTCTAGTTCAGTTCTAGTTCAGTTCTAGTTCAGTTCTAGTTCAGTTCTAGTTCAGTTCTAGTTCAGTTCTAGTTCAGTTCTAGTTCAGTTCTAGTTCAGTTCTAGTTCAGTTCTAGTTCAGTTCTAGTTCAGTTCTAGTTCAGTTCTAGTTCAGTTCTAGTTCAGTTCTAGTTCAGTTCTAGTTCAGTTCTAGTTCAGTTCTAGTTCAGTTCTAGTTCAGTTCTAGTTCAGTTCTAGTTCGTTCTAGTTCAGTTCTAGTTCAGTTCTAGTTCAGTTCTAGTTCAGTTCTAGTTCAGTTCTAGTTCAGTTCAGTTCTAGGTCAGTTCTAGTTCAGTTCTAGGTCAGTTCTAGTTCAGTTCTAGTTCAGTTCTAGTTCAGTTCTAGTTCAGTTCTAGTTCAGTTCTAGTTCAGTTCTAGTTCAGTTCTAGTTCAGTTCTAGTTCAGTTCTAGTTCAGTTCTAGTTCAGTTCTAGTTCAGTTCTAGTTCAGTTCTAGTTCAGTTCTAGTTCAGTTCTAGTTCAGTTCTAGTTCAGTTCTAGTTCAGTTCTAGTTCAGTTCTAGTTCAGTTCTAGTTCAGTTCTAGTTCAGTTCTAGTTCAGTAGTTTAGTTCTTTAGGTCTCTAGTTCAGTTCTAGTTAGGTCTCTAGTCCAGTAACTTTCGTAACCTTAAAGCTTAAAGCTCCCCAGTGTTATTTACATTTCTGGAATAGATTTTGTCAAGCTCCTGCTGCTGTTGTATTCAATATGTATTTTTGAGCCTTTTTGAGTTTTAATTTGTAGTTATTTCTTAAAAAAAACACAAAAATATTGTAAATATTTGTTTATTGTATATTTTTTTTATAATTTAATCATAATTATAATTTTTTGTAATTTTAAAATAGTTTTAGTTTAAAAAATGCTTTAAACTGATCCCAAAAATCAATACTTAAGAGTTCTAAGACTTGAGACAAGAAAGAAAAATAATATAAAAAATCGAGTTATAAGTTTTATAAACCTATAATTATAATTTAAGTTTAAACATAATTTAAGCTAAAAAAAACAATTTTTGTACACCTTATAATAGTTATAGTAGTGCTAAAACGAAATTAAAGATGAAAAAAAAAAAACTTTAAAATTAGTAAAAAAATTTGTCAGCGTCTTAAAGAAAAAGACTACTAGTCATTTATATAAAAAATACACGAAAATTTAAATAATTGCTAAAATTCGCTGAAAAAATTTAATGTAAATAATCTTTTAATTTAAGTTTAACATTTTTTCTAAAATCTATAAAAAAAAGTATTACCGAGAAAATACGATACTAAATAAGTTAAATAACTAAAAAATACAAAAAAAAAAACAACAATTAAATGTCGAAAGAAATATATGTTTAAAAACTAAAAAATAATTTATAAACTGCTTTTTTTAATTGGTCTATTGTTTATAGCTAGAGCTTAAATTAGAGCTTTTAGTAAACAAAATTACAAAGCTTTGCTTAAATGTTTCAACTGCTGTAAGTTTTCACATCATTCACCTAATGCTAGAGAGATACACATAAATTTCATTAAAATCAAAAGCTTTTAAGAAAAAAGCTTATTTTTTAATTCAAAATCTGTGACAATAATATTTCATTTATTATCTGGGAATCAAATTTGTCGTTAAAAATCTTTGTTATGGCAAAATTTTAGCAAATAAAGTTATTACGAAATAGAAAGCTTTATTTAAGGACTATAGACTAGATTATACTATAGACTAGACTATACTATAGAATAGACGAATACTATAGACTAGACTATAAACTAGACTATAGACTAACTTACTAGACTAAACTAGACTATAGACTTTACTAGTCTATATAAACTAACTATATAGACTAGACTATAGACTAGACTATAGCTAACTATGACTATACTATAGACTAGACTATGACTATACTAAGACTAGACTATAGACTAGGCTATAGACTAGACTATGACTAGACTATATAGACTAGACTATAGACTAGACTATAGACTAGACTATAGACCTAGACCTATGACTAATACTATAGACTGACTATAGACTAGACTATAGACTAGACTTATAGACTGACTATAGACTAACTATAGACTAACTAAGACTAGACTATAGACTAGACTATAGACTAGACTATAGACTAGACTATAGACATAGACTATATACTAGACTATAGACTAGACTATAGACTAGACTATAGACTAGACTAGACTAGACTATAGACTAGACTATAGACTAGACTATAGACTAGACTATAGACTAGACTATAGACTAGACTATAGACTAGACTATAGACTAGACTATAGACTAGACTATAGACTAGACTATAGACTAGACTATAGACTAGACTATAGACTAGACTATAGACTAGACTATAGACTAGACTATAGACTAGACTATAGACTAGATAGACTAGACTATAGACTAGACTATAGACTAGACTATAGACTAGACTATAGACTAGACTATAGACTAGACTATAGACTAGACTATAGACTAGACTATAGACTAGACTATAGACTAGACTATAGACTAGACTAGATATAGACTAGACTATAGACTAGACTATAGACTAGACTATAGACTAGACTATAGACTAGACTATAGACTAGACTATAGACTAGACTATAGACTAGACTATAGACTAGACTATAGACTAGACTATAGACTAGACTATAGACTAGACTATAGACTAGACTATAGACTAGATATAGACTAGACTATAGACTAGACTAGACTAGACTATAGACTAGACTATAGACTAGACTATAGACTAGACTATAGACTAGACTATAGACTAGACTATAGACTAGACTATAGACTAGACTAGAGACTAGACTATAGACTAGACTATAGACTAGACTATAGACTAGACTATAGACTAGACTATAGACTAGACTATAGACTAGACTATAGACTAGACTATAGACTAGACTATCGACTAGACTATAGACTAGACTATAGACTAGACTATCGACTAGACTATAGACTAGACTATCGACTAGACTATAGACTAGACTATCGACTAGACTATAGACTAGACTATAGACTAGACTATAGACTAGACTATAGACTAGACTATAGACTAGACTATAGACTAGACTATAGACCATAGACTAGACTATAGACTAGACTATAGACTAGACTATAGACTAGACTATAGACTAGACTATAGACTAGACTATAGACTAGACTATAGACTAGACTATAGACTAGACTATAGACTATAGACTAGACTATAGACTAGACTATAGACTAGACTATAGACTAGACTATAGACTAGACTATAGACTAAACTATAGACTAGACTATAGACTAGACTATAGACTAGACTATTGACTAGACTATAGACTAGACTATAGACTAGACTATAGACTAGACTATAGACTAGACTATAGACTAGACTATAGAATAGACTATAGACTAGACTATAGAATAGACTATAGACTAGACTATAGACTAGACTATAGACTAGACTATAGATTAGACTATAGACTAAACTATAGACTAGACTATAGACTAGACTATAGACGACTATAGACTAGACTATAGATGATATAGACCATAGTCCAGACTATAGACTAGACATAGTCCAGGCTATAGACTAGACTATATTCCAAGACTGACTATAGTCCAGAAGACTATAGTCCAGA